CATTTTTAACTACTCACCTCCTTCACAATCCAGATGTCACATTAGCCATAAAACATCATCCATTTGTGAAAAGTCCAAGAATCTATTAAAAAGTATGGCAAGCAGGTGTTACCCACACCTACCACATCCCTGCCTATGCCAAAAATCCAGCCTGGAGATTTGGTCCTGGTCAAGGTCTGGAAAGAAGGTCCCCTCATGACCAGTTACAACCCAAGTGGAGGGGACATCAGGTGCTCCTTACAACTTGAATGCTGCAGAACTGTCTAGAATAACTCCTTGGGTTCATTTATCCAGGAATAAGCCTTAGTCCAGATCAAGCCCAGCTGAGGCAGACAACAATAACCAGGCCCCAGCCAGCTCCACGTGCGAGCCTTTGGAAGCTCTCAGAGACCTCTTCAGAAAGACCACAGCCACATAAGTCCCAGATGATTTGGTTTGTATTACGGTTTATTCTTCTTTTGATCACTTTCTCGCTCCTCTTACTTCTTTTGTGCTTATGTAAAGACACTCCCCCACCAGACAAGCCCCTCTTTTGTCCCCATTGGGTTTGATGGACTCATAAAATAGAGGCTTTCCATTCTGTGGTGGTACAGGCCCTTCTTTTCCACAATACTGAGCTCCTAGCCGACTTACTGAAGAACAAATAGAGACCTTGGGGGCCGGCCCGGTGGCGCACTGCTACAGTGCGCTGCTTGGGAAGTGCAGCGGCGCTCCCGCCGAGGGTTCGGATCCCACATACAGACCGGCCGCTCACTGGCTGAGCGAGGTGCGGGGGCAACACCGAGGGTTGCGATCCCGTGGCCGGTCCTGGTCCGGTACGGGCGCGACACTGAGGGTTGCGATCCGTTGCCAGTCACAAAAAAAGAGACAAAAAGGGAAAAAAAAAAACAAAAAAAAACAAATAGAGACCTTGGTTCAGGATACAGTAGAGACTGGATTCTCCCAAGGGGACTTCCAAGATTACAGGTAGGAAGAATAACCACCCTTGTGGAATAAATCGGCTAGGGGCAGATCCTTACAGCTCCGCAGATCAAACACAATGGATCAGGCCAGCACGCTTCCTTTTCTCCTTGCCCTTGTCTACCTGCCCTTCCCTGTGGCCAGAAGGAATACCAATCCATTGCTCCCTTTCACTCATCAGGCTCAGGGATTTCTTAAAAACAGCTCCTACAATGCCTCCTGTTGGATTTGCATGGGACAGAGGTCAGCCGTGGCCTTCCTGGCCCCTCCTGGTCTTTGGACGGCCCAACCCTCCAATGTCTTGACCCGGATCTCAGACCTCGGAAACTGACTTGGTCCTCCCAGACCCATACCTCCGCAAAAAATTTCTTCAATAGGTAAAAAAGGACCTCAGAGAACTATAGGGACCCCCAGCCGACTTTATCGCCATCAGAGGTGGCACTCTACAGAGACATTTCCATCCCCAAAATACCATTTTTTCATTGTCTTAAGTCCAACCACAGTCAGGGAGGAAAAGACCTGGATGGCTACCTGAATCAGACTGTCACACCATCTTTGGGGTCACAAAACCCACTCAGGTACTTTATCAGGCCACCAGGTCAACTTCTGTGTTGATAGGATCAAAGACTCCATCCTAACTCACTCAGTAATTTAACATGTCAAGGAAATTGCTCCACCGAAAACTCAATATTGCTGGGGATGACCTCAGATGGGCCTGAATGGGTTCTTTCACAACAACGTTCATCATGTGATTCGTCGCCAGCACCGGATTCTTTGGGACCATACTAGAAACACCCTATTTTATGAAAATGGAAATCAAATGACTGACCATCTGTCTTTGCTCTCCCTCCCAGCCATGACACTTGCAGCCACCTTACATACAAGGGGAGGCAGGAAAAGTGGGAACTCCACCTGAAGAAATCCCCCTTCTTAACATGGTCATAGAGGCTGCTTTGCCACCCTCATGTGGGATATACTTCTTTTGTGGTCACTCTGCCTGTGCCACTTTGCCAAATGATCGGAGAGGAATCTGCTCCCTGGCCTGTCTCCTGATGTTTCTCTCCTAGACAAAAACCAATCAATCCTTATTCCAAAAGTAAAGCCTATCAGACTAAATAAAAGGGGCATAATTTTTCTTCCCTTATTGGCTGCTGTTGTAGGGACCACGGTATGTACAGGTGTAGCAGGAATCATCTCATCAGAGCGAGTCTTTGCCACTTTATCCCTAGAACCAAGCAGGGCCACGGAGGAAACAGCTCAGGCCCTCGACACCTTAAATTTCCAACTCAACTCTCGCTGCAGTCGTGCTCCAGAACGGGCAGGCCCTAGACAAGTTCACTTCTGCCCGAGGGGAAACCTGTGCCCTGATACAAGTAGAGTGTTGCTTGTATGTAAATCAGTCAGGAGTCACAGAAGATGACATTAGAAAATTAAAGGACAGGGCAACTTGGTGTAGAGAACTAGCTTTAGAGGACAGAAGTCCCTTCGGGATGACATGGAAATCATTTTTCTGGCTAATCCCCTTTTTGGGACCTTTAACCATCACCTTTGCTCTCCTACTTACTGTCCCTGTTGTGATCAAACTCCTCTTGTTCGTTTTCTCTAGAATGGCTGCCATCCAAAACACTACCATGGTGCTTCAAGGATACGAACCCCTGCTCCTCTCCATAACTGAGCCTCCCCTGGGGCAGCTCGACAATCAAGCGAGAGAGTTTTGCTCCTAGAGAGAGGTGGGGACAACTGCCCTGACTCAGCAGGAAGCAGCTATAGAAGACTATAGATGCTATAAGCTATAAGAAGACTGTATAAGCTATAGAAGACTGGCAAGATCTACGCCTCTCTGAACCCCAAAAACATTTATGGGAGCAAACTCTCTCAGGGAGGAATTGAGGCAGGGACAGAATAGGGACATGTCTCAGGGCATATTCTGTTCATCAATATTCAGACTGCATAAGCACTGCCCACTTCTTTGCCTGGCAGTTAATGGACTCATAATACGCTGGTGACAACTTAACCACCCTACCCATCAGCATGCTACATGTCGCACCTGTGCATGAGGGAGGAAAGTGCAGATGATCGCCATTATGACCTTACACCCATGGCGAAAGGACAAGGTTAAAGGGAAGTGACTTCTGCTCACGACTGGAATCTTCAGAATGACCACCTTTACAACCCTTCATCCACGTGTAAAGGACAAGGTTAAAGTGACTCCTTTGCATGACTAGGAACTTCAGAAACTCAGGGACGCATGACAAGAAACTAATGCTACTTCACTGGCCTTAATTACCTTAGATACTCCCCATGGCCGAATATTCCTCCCCTTGGGATAAAGACTCCCATCCCAGAACAACATACAAACCCTCCCCTTAGGAATCCACAGGGTGGTTCTCATTTTCTAAGGCCATCGATGCACACGTTGGTACATATTCTCTCTGCACAATAAAGTTTTATTATTTGTATATTTGTCAGTCTGTCTCCCTTTTTCTTTCACTGAGCATTACCCAGGACCAATCGAAATCCACAACATGGATTTTCATAGGAAGTAGTAGAACTCCTTAGCTGCATTGAAACCATCTTTTATTAAGGGTGGTGTAGCCTCTGCTCCTCAGATCAAGAGCCCTCAACTCAAGTAGAAATGCAAAATATGTATCTCCCACAAGGCAAGTGTGTCAAAATTAAAACCAAAGGCCCAAAGACGGAGTCCATGGAAACTCCAATATTTGAGTCAGGCAGAAGAGCTGAGATGAAGAAAACCCAGAAAGAGGTCCTACATAGTCTAAGGAGAAAGCTTCAAAGAAGGAGTTCTTAATATTGTCGAGAAGTCATATAAGGTAACAACTGAAGAGCATCAGCCTTATTTGGCTATAGTACAAGCTAAAATGACTTTTCTAGGCCAGTCTGGGAGTGGTATAAAAGAAAGATAACAAAGGGGTAAACAGCACAGGGGCTGGCTGGTTAGCTCACTCAGTACAGCTGCAGTGTGGTGCTGATAATGGCAAGGTCAAGGATTCAGATCCCCATACCATCTAGCTGCAAAAAAAAAAGAGTATATGGGGAGGGGGGAGTGGAGGTGGCTGAGAGGAGACAGTTCTTTCCAGAAGCTCTGTTGACACAACTGGAAGATTATCTTGCTGTACTACTTTGTGGTATAATAAACTTTTCATGCATCCTTTGGGGAAGATTTAGTAGGGATTAATAAGTTTACTTACCCCTAAAATAGACCCAGGAAACTTAGCATATAAGGCGAAAAGGAACATAAGGTTAAGTCATTTAAAATTTTTAAGGATGAAATACATGTACTTATGAGTAGGATTATAAGATTTTCACAGCTGGCAAAACAAAATAAAGTGTTATCACACTCTTAAGGTGCTGTTCAACATGATGCAGAGACTTAACATCTCCGGACAACAAAAATATCACCTATAACGTGACAACTGGCCAGATACACAGCCCAAACCTATTACTTAGTTGGGAAATTAGATAGTAAATAAGCCAAAATCCTCACTCAGGAAGGAAACTTAGGCTTCCTTAAGAGGAAATGTTTGGGGAAACCACAACATTCAACAGACGAATAATACTGTGATTTTAAAAACTGCATTGAATTGTTGTACTTTGAAATAATTTCGACCTTATTAAAGCAATACCATTATCCATATTAATATTTTTTCAAGTAACAAAAGGAATATTTTAACTTTTCTATTATTGCGAATAATACTGTGATTTTAAAAACTGCATTGAATTGTTGTACTTTGAAATAATTTCGACCTTATTAAAGCATTATCCATTATCCATATTAATATTTTTTCAAGTAACAAAAGGAATATTTTAACTTTTCTATTATTGCTTTCATCTAACCAATACTGTTTGGATAAAAAGACTACTAAGGGGTAACTAAAAAATCTTAAAAAGTGACTAACGTTTTGAATCAATTTCAATTTGAATGTCAACTGCTAGTTATAAAAACGTGAAAGCAAACCCATAGGAAAATATTCATTATTTGAAGAAGAGCTGTCCTAAGATAATGCACACAAACCAACATAGTCTATTTAATAAAAATATTTAATGCTGCCAAAAAGTATAAAAATACAGTAGGAATGGCAGTACAATACAAAGTAGTTTCCTAATTTATTTCTTTTACATCTTTCTACATTTCATACACACATTAAAAAACACTTAATGATACATCATAAAGGGTCCTGCAAAGTCTTCTGCTGGTGGGTGCTCTTCATTCCCTGGATGTAAAGTTTACTCTGTAAACAGACAACAGTGAGGCAATCTACAGGTATAGGAAGCCTCACGTTAGTTTCCGGAGTGGGCTTCAGTCTTGCTCTGCACATCAATGGTTCAAAATTTATAGCTGCAGAATACTCTCAAGTCATGAATATTTAGGTGTCTGTCAATCTTGGCCTAAAACATAAAATAAGAAGTCATCTATTCAATTCATATTCACCAAACACACAGACGTACACAGATATACACGAACAAAAAAGGACCAAGAATGAACTAAAAAGGCAACCAAAAATCACTCCAACATATCACATCAACCACACTAAGTGCTTCAGTTATCTTAGTAAATAAAATTCCTGAAGTGCTTGATTTTCAAACAATTGGTGGCGTGAGGTAGACTCATGTTAAAGCACCATAGCTCACATTCTTCTTCCAAAGAATGTAGGTCACCTGTTTAACTCAAAAAATTACTTCTATGTGGGATACTGACAGATGGATGGGTTTTTAAAAAGTACCTGCAGAATCTAGCAGGCTTATACTGTATAAGCTAGACTTACCATACTTTGGAATTCAACGCAAAAGTCCAATCCAATTTGGACTTCCACTGCAGAAGACTGCTAAAAATATTATCAACATAATGTCTGAACATAAAGTTGGCTTATATTTTTAAATCACAGACTGTTAGCAGATGCTTTTTTCCTAAAGTATAATACTAATGATTATAGCTACAGAAGTGACAGGATACTTAAGTTACTATTAATATAAAAGAAAACACAGACATAAAATGACAGATTTATTGTATTTTAATGCCAACAAGTAAAAATAAATGAGAGTTTAAACAAGCAATAGACAGATGAAATGACTACTGTAAGGGCGGTTGACTTTTTGATGTTACTTCACGGTACTTGCAAATAACTGAACTTTTTGGGAGGTCAATGGTGTTTCCATCCTTTCCCCAATTCCTCTCACTACCACAAAAATAACCCAAATCTAAATACCTGTCATCACTGTATCTCCCTCTCTCTCTCCATATATATATATATATTTATGTATATATAAAATAGGAAATATAAACCATGTCCATACATTTGGCCAAGACATTTAGTCTAAAACTCCAACAGGATGAGAATTAGGCTTCTTCCTGCCTATTGGTTCCTTTCTCTAAAGGAAGGCATAAAATTGTATCAAGCACCTTGGTATTCTAAATAGTCCTTTATTTTTCTGATTTTCTAACACTGATGGAGAAATGTCAAGTCATCAAGAAAATATTTTCTTTCTTTCTTTTTTTTTTTTTTAAAAAGATGACCGGTAAGGGGATCTTAACCCTTGACTTGGTGTTGTCAGCACCACGCTCAGCCAGTGAGCGAACCGGCCATCCCTATATGGGATCCGAACCCGTGGCCTTGGTGTTATCAGCACCGCACTCTCCCGAGTGAGCCACGGGCCGGCCCCAAGAAAATATTTTCATTAGACGTCTGTGAGTTACAAAAACTACTGTGGATGCTCATTACAGGGATCTCCAGAAGCCTGAACCAAAGTGGCTGAAGTAAGGGAAGGTACTTCTTGATTCTGACTGCTGCAAAACATATAGTTATTTCCCACGCATTCGGAAGTCTGCTCTGCAAAACAAAGGAACTTAATTCAATCAATCAAAGTGAATGAAATAATGGTTTAGTTTAGAGAATATGCTGATGTTCCAGTATTTGCTTCAGTAATAGTCCAAACCATTTCACAAAGCTTTTTGATTTGCTCCACTTAAAAAATAAAGAGGACTACTTTGGATTTTAGCAGGTTAAGAGTGGTTGTTTATTACTTTCCTGTTTAAATATTTGGTTTAAATACTCCATAAAAACAGAGTCAGTCAGTGTAACGTAATGGAGAAAGTATAAGGTTTGGAGTTATTGGAATTCTACCAATTGGAGTTTGAATCTCCGTTCTGTCACGTGCTAGTTGTGTAACTGTGGGCAAGTTACTTATTCTTTGACTCAATTTTCTTATCTGAAAATAGAGATAATGCTATCTACCTAGATGAGATGTTATGTGGGTTAAATTTAGGTTATATATTTAAACAGGTTAGCAGAACTGTAGGTGTTCAACATACACTGTTCACCTTCCCCAGTAGTTTAAGATACATTTACCAAGAATGAACTGTTATTTATAACAACCTAAAGACAGTGTTTTCAAAAATTCATTTATTACTTCTTTGTTAACAGTGTATTATGGGGTGGGGTGAGAAAATAAGATGAAATCATTGGGAGGATTAACTGTTTTCAGACTACTTATTTGTAAGACTGAAAAGACAAATGGGCTTTACTTTAGAAAATTCTAATATATTCACTTGAATTCATTTTTGCTATTTTCTTTAACAAGGCAAAAGTAAAATGGGTTCAAACAAATCAAATGGAGTTAGCCATGCTTGGTGCTTCCCTTGAGGGTGGTGGCCCTGGCAAACCCCAAACCATCTTTATGCTGGGACTGTGCGAGGGCTGCTACACGGGCCCAGCGTGCTCCGCCAGGCCAGCCCCACACCCGAGGGAACAGAAGACCAAACTGCACCAAAAGTAGTTTTTGCTACCACATATTCACAAATATTCACAAAAATATTCCACTAAAATGAAATCAAGGCTAACCACAAATTTCTGTAAGGTGAGCAAAGCACTACTTACCTAAGTTTCTGCTCCTGACTTCAACAAACTCAAAACAACTAGTTTTTTTCAACATAGCAATCTGAAATATCAACAGCATTGTGTGTCAAAAATCTACACTGAATTCGTGCAACAATAAAAAATAACTTGATACATCTTTAAAAAGGTCTCTAAAAGAAAAAACTGTGTTCTCCTTGCAGCTCCCCCAGACATACTATGCAACATAAATCAAACAGCACTGAAGTAGACTGTAAGTAACATCCTCACTACATTCTGTAATTCTCCTATTCTACTCTAAATTAAAAAAATAATAATAAGGTTCAAAAGACTGAACTTTTCATTCTTCCAACAGACTGCCGAGAGACAATCAGGGCTCTTCAAAATGTGTTCACTGTCAGATTGTTACTGATAAAGACAAAACCTCTCAAACCAAGTAAAACCTTCTCATACCAGTCACTGATTACACTTGGCAATGGCTCTGTACTGTGCATACAACTGCAGAAAAAAATCAGCAATGGCAGTGAGGAAAAATGCTCCCCAAAGGACAATGAATCTTTCTAGAATCCAGAAGCCAAAGGAGATAACCACTTCTCGGAAGAGTACTGAGATAAAGGACTTGTGCAGAAATGCTCAATACTGTCCTCGGAGCAATCTGAATATGTTAAATATTGAAAAAATTCCTCCTGCTGAAGAAAAAAATGAGATAACCAAACTCATACCATTTTCCTAGAAGTTTTTACTTTAGAATACTACCCAAAGAAGAGTGAAAAGGCTTAAATTCCTGAATCTGGCTGAACAGTACAACGGCTGTATCAGGACCGGGCACACGGATACAGCCAGTATGTGTGGATGCAGTATCTGAACTGGGGATTCCTCGGTAGAGCAGGGAGGAGGAGTTTACACAACCTGAATTGCTTTCCACCCAGGCATGTTACCACTTATACATACTCAATGGAACAAGAGACAGCTGTTATTTCTAGTATATCCACTGTTGCAGGGGCTCTTTGGTGCTACTGTCCCATAAACACTGCTTTGAAGATAAGTATAATGAAAAATAAAATTAAATCCAAGCAAACTGGGGAAAAAGATGAATGAAAAGGTCAACTCAAGAGTAAATCATCCAAGGGCCGGCCCGTGGCTCACTCGGGAGAGTGCAGTGCTGATAACACCAAGGCCACAGGTTCAGATCCCTGTATAGGGATGGCTGGTTAGCTCACTTGGGAGAGCGTGGTGCTGACACCAAGACAAGGGTTAAGATCCCCTTACTGGTCTTCTAAGCAAAAAAAAAGGAGTAAATCATCCAGGCAATACCCAAAACCTGTATTTTTTTTTTCCCTTTTGTCTTTTTTCATGACCGGCCATGGATTGCAACCCTCAGTGTTGCGCCCGTACCGGACCGGGACCGGCAACGGGATCGCAGCCCTCGGTGTTGCACCCACACCTCGCTCAGCCAGTGAGTGGGAACCGGTCTGTATGTGGGATCCGAACCCTCGGCGGGAGCGCCACCGCGCTTCCGGCGCACTGTAGCAGTGCGCCACCGGGCCGGCCCCCCAAAACCTGTATTTTAAGTTATGAGAAGACAATCCTATTATGTGGGAAAATATTACAATTCTATTTTTCAAAATGTTATTTGTAAGATTCCATTCCCTAATCTAAATCAGTCAAAGCCAAGTAAGTGCTTCTTAAAAGTAAAAGAGACTTTAATATCTGTAGGTGTATACGTGAGAATGCAGACCAGGCACCTCTGCTACACACTTAGTTGCAAACTGTGGAGGGATGTGTCAAGTACACCCAGATGAAGGATAACCTCAGACACCCTCCCCTGACTAGTACACACAGACAGGGAGAAGTCTATGCCTAGCTACGTATTCTTGACTCACTGAGAATTCATGTACGGACCTGCTAGAAGAAAAAAATAAACCGATGTTTACAGAAGGCTTGAACTCTGTCCTGAACACAGAAAGAATGGACTTAATGACATCTGGCTTATAAACAGACTAGATTTTTAAAAAGACCTGCTAGAAGAAAAAAATAAACCGATGTTTACAGAAGGCTTGAACTCTGGCCTGAACACAGAAAGAATGGACTTAATGACATCTGGCTTATAAACAGACTAGATTTTTAAAAAATCTCTTTAACATTTGTTACCTGAAAGTAAAAATCAAGGCAGACTAGATTTCAGAATCTGTACTATAACCATGCAAGTAATCTGGAAATGTAGGACTCGTTAAAAAACATTTGTAATTCTATAAGGTTTTGGTCTGTCTTTATAAAATCTAGTCAGATATATTTTTCTGAGAGAGACATGAGTTGCAGTCTTTCTTGGAGAATTATCTAATTCTAACATATATTACAAATCTGAGACTTTCTCCATGATAGTACCATAAAAAGATGTAGAAATGTCAAGTCTCAGGCTGATTATGGCTGAATAACACCAACCCAGAAGGACAAAGCAGACAAAAAGCAAAGCTGAAATGCTGAACCCAATGAAGAACATTCACCCAGCAAAGGCGTGATGTACATCCTCATCAGGATTTGTTTCCCATGAGATGTCTTTACCTTTTGGCATAAAGCAAGGCTATCTTCAACCGGAAATTTAGTAAGACCTACCCATATTTGACCTGCAGTGTAACATAGTGTATTTTAGCAAAGATAAACCAATGCAAATGGGAAAGAAATATTTTAAACCAGTGACGACTTAAAACACAAGGGTCTTGATGCCTGAACACAGGTTTAACACAGACAGACATAAGAAAATGTCCCTCTTACCTCCTTTCCATTTCAAAGTTACAGGACACAGTAATACTGAATTAGGACACAGGCACACATTATATAAATCTTATTTAATATATGGTACCACCTACATCCTGATTTCATACTTTAGTATAATTTAACACATTCAAGAAGGCTACTCAAATCAATTCAAAATATCCATGTATACCAGTGGTTTTCAAACTTTTTAAATTAGAATTGCCCCTTTAAATAATTAAGCCTCATGCAGAAATCTTGATGTGGTATATAAAAAGAGAAAAAGCAGAGATGCTGTGGTTCAAAGTACAAGTTGGTAGCTGGGAGTCCTTCCAGCCACCTTTTGATGACCCTTCTGGAAATCCAACAAGCAGAGTTTGAAAACCACTGAAGTAATGTATACTACCTATGCCTCCTAGCAATTAAATTTATAATAACTATTTAAAGTTTAAGTCAAACAAGTTAAACATTGAATGGAATGTTGGGAACTGAAGAAAGCTAGCACTCAAATGAGCAGTTAAATTCATTAAACAATATGCTTTAAAAACACTCATTAAGAAGTTTAAGGGACAATTTGCACATCATTGTACTATTTATTGAAGTAGAAAGAATGTGAAAAATTTTTACTTCAAAATTTCAGTCTAATAAACTGAAATCATGGATCATAAAATGCTACTTTTACTTTTACTTCCTAAATCATGGCTTATCCCAGTTATAAATTAGGGTAATTACATTGCAATTTTCATGAAAAACAAACATAATACTGTGTATTAGTAATGGGTTTTACAGAAACCAATTTCTTTACAAAGTCTTGACCAACTGTTACCTGACTATCTCAGTAAGGAGAGTTTTCCATCAAAGATATTTTTAGGAAAAAATTTTTGTTTCTTTGCTTTTCTTTTTAAAATGGGGAATACCGTAAACATAAAAGAATGCAAATATATAGTAGAAATTGCTTATTTCAGAGTTCTAACTGCTCATGTCAAACTCTTTCAGAAAATGTATTCAGTACAATTGAATGAACATACAATTAATTTTTTAAATGTTAACAGATCTTTCAAATTGGGCTTTTAAAAGGTACATTTAACTACAAAAGTAAGATTAAATAGTTACTTATAAAATATATTTACCCTGAAATGGTTAAGAATATAAAGTGTTGATGCCCATATCAATAGTACGTTTTACATTACACACATTATTTAAAGATCAGTTTCCTTCTATTAATAATGTAGGTAAAACCACAATATTTATTGCTTATATCAAGTGCAGGTTAAAATCCAGATGGCTTCCAAAAACAAATCCTTGCAATAAAGGATTTCCCAATGTTGGTTGGTCAGGTGAAATACTACGTTAGACACGTATGAATACAGTTGCAAAACGTACCAGTTCTTAACAAACATGAATGTCTTTACTTTAGAAAGCCGTTTACAGTTTCGGTTTCAGAGGAACCTGCTGTGAAGAGTCCTGAGATGTTGGGCTTGTGACTATAAATACCACTTATCTGGCTGATGTCTATTCTACTGCACCATTTTGGGGGGCATGAGGCATTTGCTGCTAACAGACAAACCCTTGTGATTAACGCAGCACTGTCAGCTACTAGTGCAGAAGCTTGGTGGGCAAAACTAATTGCTCCTTTAGAGGACATTTTGCTGAAAAAACAGTGTCCAGCCAAAAAAAGCTCCAACCAAAATGACTGACACAAACCCCAGCTTAGTGAGAATAGGTTGCCAATATAACCACCTTTTTCTTTTTCGTTCAGTCTCATTTAGCCTCTGTTTCATCTGCTGCACTTTCTGAGCCGTGGTAGCTTTTCGGTCTTCTCGGATACGTTTCCGTAGAATACTGTGAATAAATAAAAACAAATAAAAGTAAGTGTGTGCACAGTAAGATTTACTTACTCTAACATTGAGGACCTAAGCTCACATAAAAACACGCACCGGTCTTCTCGGATACGTTTCCGTAGAATACTGTGAATAAATAAAAACAAATAAAAGTAAGTGCGTGCACAGTAAGATTTACTTACTCTAACATTGAGGACCTAAGCTCACATAAAAACACGCACCTCCATATATTTTTCATCTCATTCAAACAATGGAAAAAAAAAGGGGGGAAAGCCTCAATATTCTAAATGGTCCAGAGATATGCTCTAATAATTCAGCAACAATTTCTGATATAGTTTTATATTAATAAATACTTTTAGTAGAACCTGAAAATGAGCAAGGTACTTTCTTTCTCAAAACATGAACTGGTGACTGTTAAGGCCCTTGATAAAAATTGTTTAATATTCCCACTAAAATTCTGTTGTGGGACTGCCTATTCCACTTGCCCGCACATATTTCTAGCACTCATTTTCCTGTTCAGTACAGAATTTTTGATTAAATGGAAACTCTCTGACTTCCAAGACACTTGGTCCTCAGACTACATTAAGAAAAATGGCGAATGGCAACATGTAACTTACTATCTCTTCCCTTTAAAGAAGTCTGTATTAGGCAAAAGCCTAACTAGTCTCCCTGCCTCCAAATTAAACATTATTGCCAGAGTAATTTTTCTAAAGAATACCTCTGAACATGTAGCTTGATTAAAAATCTTGAATGCCTCTTCAATGTCTATCACATTAACAGAAAACAAACATTTTTTTCTGGCCAAATGTTAAGCCTGAATTTAACAATGAGAAACAATGATTACAGAAATCCAGATTGTGGGACAGTCTAAAAGACAATTGGTCTAGAAGCTTCAAAAATACTAATGTTAAGCAAGTTGGGGAACAGTTCCAGATTAAAGGAGACCAAAGAATTACATCAACCAAATACAATGCATGATCCATGATTAGTTCCTGAATTATTTATTAAACAGCTATAGAAGATGGGATCTTGAAAATGTTTTAAAATCAGATTATAGTGATAGCCACACAACTCTGTAAACATATTAAAATCCATTAAATTGTACACTTTAAAAGAGTTAACATTATGGTATGTAAGTTATATCTCTATAAAGCTATTTTTTATTTTTATTTATTTATTTAATTTAATTTAATTTTATCAGTATACAATGTACTTGATTTTCATGTCCCTTTACCGAATCCTCCCTCCCCACTCCCTCTATAAGGCCGTTTTCTAAAAAAAGCTATAAGACAGACTTTTTAGATAACTAGAGAAATTTGAATATGGACTATAAGAATATTTTATTTTTTCAATGTTATATTTCTTTGATACATTGGGACATTCAGATACTGTTCATGGGAATATAAAATGGTGCAGCTGCTATAGAAAAATTGTTTGATAGTTCCTCAAAATGTTAAACATAGTTACCATTAAGACCCAGCAACTGTACTCCCAGGTATATACCCAAGAGAAATGAAAACATATGTTCATGCAAAAACTTTTCAGTATTCTCTGGCTATGCCTAACTGTTCTTGCCAAAAGATATTTTGCTGTTCTCTAAATTCGTTCCCCACTAAAATAGAAACTTTCGAAAACATATGTTCATGCAAAAACTTTTCAGTATTCTCTGGCTATGCCTAACTTTGTTCTTGCCAAAAGATATTTTGCTGTTCTCTAAATTCGTTCCCCACTAAAATAGAAACTTTCTATCTCTCTGATCCTCTCATTTCAATTCTGTTCTTTAATTCTCATTCCCTATGGCATTTCTATTCTTATCTTACAGAATTTAATTTATAATTTACTAATAATTTGTTTTACCCTTATAATATATTAGAAACATGAGGACTACATTTTGCTTATCTTTGTATGGCCTATCATGGTGATTTCTCATGGCTTTTTCACTTTCATCATATACACAGGTAATACTGTCTGTCTGATCTCTATCTGAATATTTGCTACAATGGATTGCAAAAATTATTACCCAAAATTCACTCTTTGAATTGAAAATTCACTATAACAAATGTGCACATACCTACTAGTGAAAATATTTAAGTCGCAGAGGCAAGAGAAAACGCCAAAAACACCTCTTAAGCGCAGGTGGCCAACCACAGCTGCTGCCACGAAAGCAGCCACAGCCACCATGCAAGTGGCCCACCAGACACTCAACCGCACTGACACAAGGAGAGTCACCAGTGGAGACCAGAAAAAGAAGAGGACATCTCTCTCCTTAAAGCCCACTCCAGGGTAAAAGAAGCAACTGCTCTACCAAATGAGCAGACATCAATGCAGAGATACTAGAAATATGAAAAATCCAAGAAAATATGACACCACCAAAAGAATACAGTGTTCTCAAATACCAGACCATATAGAGCAGGAAGCCCTTAAAATGACTAAAAAGGAATTCCAAGCAACCAAGCAACAATCTTAAGGAAACTTACTGAGATACAAGAAGACTCATACAACATAATGAAATGAGGAAAAAAAAAAAAAATCTAGGTTATGAAGGAGACATTTTACAAAGAGATCAATACCTTAAAAAAGAATGAAGCAGAACTCATGGAACTGAAGGATTCACTCAGTGAAGTAAAAAAAACCAACTAATAACTTAAGCAGCAGGCTAGAACAAGCAGAGGAGAGAATTTCTGATCTCCAAGATAATCTTTTCAAAATAACCCAGGTGGACAAGAAAAAGGAAAAAAGAATTTTAAAAAATGAAGAAAATCTAAGAGAGCTAGCAGACATGCTTAAGTACACAAACATTAGAATCACAGATATTCCAAAAGGGGAGGAGAAAGGAAAAGGTATGGAAAACCCATTCAACAAATAATAATGGAAAACTTTCCAGGTATAGGGAGAGACTTGGATCTTCAGATCCAGGAAGCTCAAAGATCTCCAAACAGATTCAACCCAAAAAGATCCTCTCCAACACACATGGTCAAACTGGTAAAGCTCAAAGACAAAAAGAGAATCTTAAAAGAAGCACGAGAAAAACATCAAGTCACCCACAGGGAGCCCCTATCAGATTCATAGCAGACTTCTCAACAGAAACTCTACAGGACAGAAGAAAATGGGATTATATATTCAAATTACTAAAAGGAAAAAACTGTCAGCTAAGAATACTATACCCAGGAAGGCTATCCTTAAGAAATGAGGGAAAAATACTGTTTTCCAGACAAACAAAAACTGCCAGAGTTCGCTACCACATGAGCAGCCCTACAAGAGATCCTCAAGGAAGTCCTGCATCTGGAATCTGAAAAATGATAATCACTACCATGAATACACAAGAAAGAACAAAATTCACTGGTAGAACAAAAATGCAAACGAGAAGGAGAAAGAAACTAAATCTTGACACCACAAAAAAAATATGACAATGTAATAATGTCCCTGCTTTATTCCAAATTTCAGTCTTCTCCCTTTTCTTGGTCAATCTAGATAAACGTTTGCAAAATTTGTTGATCTTTTTAAAGAATCAACTTTTGGTTTTGTTGATTTTCTCTATTGTTTTTTAATTCCCTATCATATATTTCTGTTGTAATCTTTGTTATTTCCTATTTATATTTGCTTTTGGTTTAGTTTGCTCCTCTTTTTCTATTAAGGTAGAAGTTTACATTACTGATTTGAGATTTTTCTTATTTTTAGTACAGGTGTTTACAAGTATAATTTTTCCTCCTAGCACTGCATGAGCCCTGCATCCTATAAATTTTGATATGTTGTGCTTTGATTTTTATCTCAAAGTTCTAATTTCCCTGTGATATTTCTTTTTATCCATTGTTTATTTAGGAGAATGTTGTTTAATTTCCACATATTTGTGAATTTTCTAAATTTCCTTCTTTTATTGTTAGTTGGAGAACATATTTCTATGATCTTAGTCTTTTTGAAAGTATTAAGACTTGTTTTGTGGCCAAAAATAAAACTTATTCCCTGATGGAAAAAAAAAATACACACACACACACACACACACACACACACACACACACACACACGTATTTAACTTGTGTTCAAGTGCAGGCAAAACATGTACAAAATATATAAAAGTATACAGAGGGGGTTAGCCTTCCATGGGTCCCTGTAATCACATTTGCATTTGCCAGGAGTCTGGGTGTCCCTGATGGAAAAAAAAAATACACACACACACACACACGTATTTAACTTGTGTTCAAGTGCAGGCAAAACATGTACAAAATATATAAAAGTATATAGAGGGGGTTAGCCTTCCATGGGTCCCTGTAATCACATTTGCATTTGCCAGGAGTCTGGGTGCACCATCAACAATGTTCCAATTTAGACAGAATTTTTAACATATTATTTCTCTGTTTCTTTTAACTTTCATTGTATTATAGAAGGCAATTATAATTTGTATCTAGTGATTTTATAGTACTGTCATTTACCATGTAAACCCAATAATGAGTTCATTAAGTGTTACAGGATTATATGATTAGCGCTTTAATGCTAACTAGGAGTTTAAAAGGGTGTTTATGATGTCTGGAGAAACTAGTTATGGTTTTTAGTTGGGCTGGGAACCCATAATTTTTCTTATTTAAAATAATGGAAGAGGTTCTTACTGTACCAAAATGCCCCATGCAATTCAGGCATGGACTATATACAATATCAAGGCATGCCTCTATTTAGTTTATGAACACAATTTCAGAGAAGGACTAACTATTCTCAATTTTTTTTTTTAACGTATTTAGGCCCAAGGAAGTTATGTCTGTGTAACAACCTGCCAAGTGGGAAGTGCCCAGGTTTTCTCATACATTTATACAATTTAGGCCATAAACTAACAGGGAGAGTGCCTCCTGTGAACCCTTGCCCACAAAAGATCATGTGGAATTCCTCACGTAGCACACAAAGCAGGCTACTGCCAATACATGCTTTGGCAGGCATACTTTACATATGTTCTCCATAGTATAAGTACACTACTGTTCTCCACTCTCAGTGATGTGGGTTCATGCACTGCATTATAATTGAGAACACTGGTGTTCAAACTCAGACTGTGTAACCTACATTAAGAAATACATTACCGTCACAACACAGTGACCACACACACACTTATATATGTACACAATAGATATAAATATATAGAATTTATACATAATATTTACATGCAGGTTAAAATAGTTACTATTTGTGATATACAGATAATTTCTATTTTACTCTATTCTGATTTCTTTTAAGAATGCTTTTTTTAACCCCATAAACTGATATCATGACCACAGGATTTGAACCTAAATTTGATAAAACCTGCTTTGGGGAATATTTAATGATGAAAATGAAGAAAAGAAAGCATTATTTCTTTGAAAGCTGAAATTCTTTTGACAACATTTTAATTTTATTAGGATATCTAATGCAAAGCTATTTATCAGTATTAAAACTTTTAAAGGCAATTTTATTTCATGTTCCTGGTCACCCTCTTTTACATTTCCATAACTTTGCCCTCACAATCAGCCCTCTCTGCTAGGAACCCTTACTTTTCTATTGGGACCCTCTCTCTGCTAACATGCATCGATCTCATCTATCTCAAAGAAAAAAAGAGAAAGAAGAAAACGACAACAACATATGTTAACGTGTGTGTTTGAATCCCCCCGCCACCAATAACACAACCTTCTGCAATCACTGTAGAACTTCTGAGTGGTTTTACTAATCTCCTTTGTGTTGCCAAACTTGGACAAAGAGTGGTTTAATTCACTGAGACTGTTTTTAAAGATTAAAATTCAACACTTCTGAAATACTATGGACACCAACTCAGTCATCAAGCCTGTTTTTCATTTAATTCTGCACATAGTACTAGCCAAAAGCGGTGGGGGGAACCCAACAATACCAGGAATCTGAAAATCTTATTACTGAAAAAGATAAGGTAATTTAAAACAATATTACTTCCTGACTTAAAAGTGTTATAACTTAAAAAAATAATAAGCAAGCAACTTTATACTTTTACTTGTAGCCCACAACTACTGAAGCCATATATAAGGAGTAACATTGTTAAGTCATAATAAAATCTTTGAATACAATATATGACAACACAATGTATTATATATCGTAGAATGTTAGCTTTTATAATATTTCAAGTATTTAGTTTTTATATTAGGAAAATACAGAAATGAAGTTACATGGGAGACCCTTGACTATGTTCGTGGTACATCCCAAGATCACAATCTAACAAATATGACTACAACATAAAATTTCCCACAATAAAAAGTATATTTGACAAAAAGAAAAGGAAAAAATAGTCATTCAGAGACACAGCAGAGAAGAAGAGTTCATTCCCTTTGCTACATGACTCACCTCAGGAAGCCACTTCCTAACGTATGTGAGATAATTAGAGCCTTAGAAATGTAGTTTTTTAATTTAAAAATCTGAATACTTTACATATTCATATGGATTCAAAACTCAAAAAGTATAAAGGACATTTTATGTAATTTTTTGGGAAAAAGACTTTTTTCTTCCTCCTATAATGGAATACTTAAATATTTTATAATTTTACTAAAGGCATATTATCAATTACATTATAACTATAGTACACACACTCTATAACTGTACAAAGGACAGGTATTCATACCCTTTGTTTTTGGTACCATACTACATATTTTAGCACCTAACTATATTAACTTTTGTACTCAATTAGTGTTGCTTTAAATGATTTTTCAACTGGTTTCTATTTGTAAGTATTGGCTTTTTAATAGGACTGAAAGTGCTTTGAGAACAACTGTGTTTTCATACATTACCTAAATACCTCAGCTAATAAATAAGTAGTTACACTAATTCAGTAAACAAAGGGCCTGTATTATTTTGCATCCACTGAATTTATTAAAATTAAAAAGCCCCATCTTTTTGAGAATGTGACTATAGAAAGCTTACCTGTCACTGTTCTCCTCCACAGTATCTTGCATTTTAGAGGAAAGTCCTGAACATCGGTCACCTGTCAATTTTTCTTCCTCTAGACTTATTCGGTTCCCATTGTATTTTTCAGTTATTATTTTGTTTGGTGAATGATCAAAAGCAGGAGATAAATCTTCCTTAGAAAGTTCTTTCCACCGTTTCTACATAGAGAAGAGAAAAGATAAACGCAAACACTTAGGAAAATTTAGGTTTCATTAAATAAAAATTATTTATAAATTGAACGTCTATACTCCAGTTAAGAAAACCCTGTGATGTTAACAGATGAATGAAAAGAATCATTTTAGGGCCGGCCCGTGGCTCACTCGGTAGAGTGCGGTGCTAATAGCACCAAGGCCCTGGGTTCGGATCCCACATAGGGATGGCCGGTTCGCTCACTGGCTGAGCGTGGTGCTGACAACACCAAGTCAAGGGTTAAGATCCCCTTACCGGTCACCTTTTTAAAAAAAAAAAAAAAAAAGAAAAGAATCATTTTACCCTATGCATAGCACTATGCTCATTTTAAATTCAAAATTCTAAAATAATAAAGTGTTTAATAATTATATACATATCAGTATGTAGCTGAATACAGTGATCTTACTAAAATCTAGTGGACTTTTACCTATTTGACACACAGTATACTAGGATCTCACTAAAATGTCAGTCACAGTAAGAAGCTTTTAGCCAAGGTTAGATTTTGCTTGACTCCTAATCCAGTTGTAATTCACAGGTAGATAACACTGGAGTAGTGACCAAAATGGCACTTGAATGTGACCTGGTACATTCCTGTTCCCCGCCACTGTCCAGTTTAAGGAAGAACCAACAGGTTCTCATGATGCCAAAGGATTTTAATTTGGTTACCCGACCAGGTACACTGGCAGCTCCAAGTAGCTAATCAAGCACTGTGCTTGTGAAACGTCATCTAGCATGCCCAGACTTCAGAGCAGATGATGACAAGGAGCAGGATTCAGACCAAGACGAAGAGAAATCTCAGTTCCTTTGTCTATGAAAGAGGATGCCATCACATGCCTTGGGAGACTGTGGTGGTCATTAATGAGATGGCAGTGAAAAGCCTGCATCATGCCTAGCAAGTGTTAAGTGTCCTGTGCCCTCACGGCCACCACTCCTAGGGACATAGGTAGAGAAAGAAGAGCTGCAAAGTATATCTGGGCTGCTGGATATTAAAGCAGGGACAACTGTACAGGCCAGTGACAGAAAGGCATGCATAACTTGGGCACCACAACCACAGTTTCCCAAGTGCTTCAAGGGCTGGGAACATGACCACCATCTATCTCCCTGCCAGTAACAATAGTGGTTCAGGCAGCAGCAGTGGGAGCCAACAGTTTTGAGTATTATGACTTTGACTTGGTCTGGACAAGGGCAGCCCCCTTTGAAGATCCTCTCACGGAAGCAAGGAGTCTTAGATCTAACTAATAAGGAACACTCTACTTACTGCCTGAGGAGATTACTGATTTTGAACAGAGACGAAACACTGCAACTTATACTTAACCTTTGCGCAAAATAGTACCGTTAAAAGCAATGCTTGTATATTTAGAGCCCTGGAAAATCCAATCATACACTGGATGAACTAGTTTCTAATTTTTCTCATTGCTATATAACAGAGAAATTAAAAAGAAAAAGGCATTTTACCACACTCTACCCTTAAAAGATATGGCTATTTTACTTAGTTGCATAATTAATGTATCTCTTTCTTTTTTATAACGGTTGATTTACAGAATGAAAAGGTGTGGGTGGAACTGAACAATTCTGAGCCCTGATAGGTCTCAATCCACGTCCAGGAAGAATATTGTGCCAACAGTGAAGAAACTGCCATATAAGGGAACATAAGAGTAAGATGTTTTCACTTTAGATGACTGTGTCAATTTTCTTTCTTCCCTTGTTCTAAATTTTTGTTTCTCAGTCCAAACAGCATTTGTTGCAGGTGGGGACCCGGAGTAAATAAGACACTTATTAAGCACTTGCTATATACCCTACACTGTGTTATAATGCTTCAAATGAACTAGGTTTTAATCCTCACAGTAGGAGACAGGCACTACTCTTACTACTATTACACCACTCTTTCAGATTACATGGGTCAAAAGAGTTTAGGTAGCTTGCCCAAGGCTATGCAGCTAATAAACAGTAGAGTCAGAATTTTAACCCACTCTGGGCTGACTATACTGTGTGTCTCTGAAAAGCTCACCAATTTTGGACACTGGATAGCTTAAGAAAGCACCCCATAAAAATGTTAAATCGTCTCCCGAATTACTGTTGGTCAGTTTTAGTTTTCATTCTTAACTGAGACCTAGTTACATAACTTGGCCGTATACTTGGACAACACTCAACAATGTCAATACACAAGACAATGCCAAAAATCAAGGCTTACTTATACTATTTCCCAGAATGTGCAACAGATTCTAAATCTGTCAACAAGAAAAGCACTCAGCAGAGGAGTCAGGCAGGGTAAGGGGCAGATATTTAATGCCAGTGAAAAAAAACCCAACAATGTTATTTTGCCATGTCTTTGCAAGGCAAACTCACTCATCTTTGCCCTTCCTATGATTCCTGAGATACATGCTGATTGGTGCAGCCAAGGAATTACACCTTGCTAAACTGCAGCCTCACCCGAGCTCTCATTTTGAGGCTTGGTACAGTTTCATCTTTCTGATTCTATACTCATGTAGAGCCACACTCCCACATGTCACATGCTGCTAGGAGCAATGCTCCCCACACCACCTGGAACCCCAACCATATCCATTCCTCTCAATGAAGAAAGTACCTCAAAAAGCAGTAAAGTGATGCAATTAAACTTAAAACCTCCTGTAGTTTGTTAACAGTTTATCATTTACATTTAATCTTTATTAGTAGTATCAAATTACCAGTTACAGATCTTACATGAGTTGTGAATTGCCAAACTAGATTATTTACTCTGGAATGTTTACTGTGATCACTGATACTGGGAGTTTGCTCATAGGTATGTGGTAATATCAGCAACTACCTTATGTATTTACGCCTGACCTTGTGTCAAGAGGCAACTAGAATTATCTATATTTATCTAGGTAGGTTGAGGTCATTGAAAATTTTTTGTAAATGAATAAATGCAATGATTATAATAATGATATATATACACACACACAGAGAGAGATTTAAGATACGATTACTTTGGATGTATAACTGTACACAATAATGAAAACACCACTCACATTATATATGCCTAAAATAAGACTGAGGGTGAAAACAGATGTCCCTTTCAGGAAAAAGTACCACAGACGGAGAAGAATTATATGGGTTGAGTACTACTGAGCAGAAAGACAGCTTCCCTAAGAAAGGAGAGAAAACGGAATAATGCAAAATGTTCAATTAAACCACGAAAGGCAGAAAAAGAGTAAAAGACAAAAACAGAAACACAGAAAAGGGCAAGAAAGAGAAAATAGTAACAAATATGGTAGGTATCAATGCAGCTTTATCAGTAACCATTTTGAATGCTGATGGTCTAAATGCACCAATTAAAAGACAGAGGTTCTCAGAGTGGATCAAAAAACAAGACCTGACTATATATTGTCTATAAAAAACCCACTTTAAAAATACACATACAGATTAAAAGTAAATGGAGAAAAATATACCATACTAACACTATCAAAAGATAGCATGAATAGCTATAATAATTTCAGACAGAGCAGACTTCAAACAGAAAAAAGGCATTACATAATGACAAATGAATCAATTCCCCAAGAAGACATAATAATCCTTAACATGTATGTGCCTACTAACAGAGCAGCAAGCTACGTGAAGCAAAAATTGATACAACTGCAAGGAGAGATAGGTGAAGCCACTTTCATAACTGGAGATTTCAACACCCCTCTATCAGAAATTGACAGATCCAAACGGAAGAAATTTGGTAAGCACATAGTTGAACTCAACATCATCAATCAACTGGACATAACTGACATCTATAGGAACTTCATCTAACAATACCAGAATACACATCTGCCCTCTGTAGTGAAAAAGATCCTCGGACTAAGTTGTCGGGGGCCTGAAGCCCCACACCCCTTCTTGTGAGACCACTCCTACATGACAATCTGCTCAGATGGCCATGCTTTACATGATAACTGCCTCGAAATCTGCTTATTGCCAGAAACTGATTGCTCCTGGCTATGCAAGTTAATTTGCAAGTGACCTTTTATCCTTCTCTAGAAACTGTTTAACCATAAACATTCTGGGTGGCAACCTTTACTTTGAATGTCCTGTCTTTGTCTCTCCTCAAGATATTATCATATCTTTACATTCCAGACCCTTTGCAGCATGCCTGCCTTCTCCTATATAAGATGTAACCTAAGAATCAATAAACGAGACTTGATCAGAATACTGTCTTGTTCAATTGATCAGAATACTGTCTTGTCTCCCATCTCTCGCGTCTCTTGTTCCATACCATTCCCACTCCCCCCTCCAGGGTCTGCGTTGAATATCCCGCAGGTCAGGACACTAAGTGAGTATACATATTCCAAAACTAAAGAAACAAAACTTTAAGTGGAGGGAAAGATATTATTTAAAGGATACCACATTTCTCCTACAATTACTCATCTAGTTAGAACCAGAAAATAAGCAATGAAAAGCAACAAGCAAGCTACCAAGGTGTGGGAAAAGTTTGACTCAACTATTTAACTCTCTCTTCAAGCTCCAGATTTAAGTTGGTGAAAGCTCACTGAAATAAAGAGAAATTTTCCTAATCTTAAACATGTGAGATAACTTTTACTTCAACTAAGTCACTGTTCACTGTCAAAATGATCCCAGCAAGGTTCCTGAAGCCTAGCTTATGAAGCTGGATCTAGTGTTTGGTGGGCTTAGTTTTCTCATACTGAGTATTTTAGCACTGAGTAAACTAATGTTTCTCTTCATTAAAATTTTTCTTCAATGTAGTTTAAAGATCTGAAAAAAATCTTTAAAATAAAACTTTAAAATATTGTTGATAAGTAGAATAAAGTTTGACTTTAACAGTTAAATAATACTAATCAGAACAAAAATGTTAGCTATTAATAAATAGAATAGCTTAAGGATATGATTAATACATCTCTGAAATCCATACATCTCAACTACTTATATTTATTCCATTAGGACACTGATGGTCTGATATAAGTTATAAAAGAAGGCTCATTCTAAATATTCCTATATTGGCTAGTAATTACAGAAATTAAAGAGATACATATGAAAAACATAACAAAGAGAGCCCATCTACTCATATTACCTATCTACTTATAGTATCTATTTATATCCAAATACCATGTGCTAAGACCAGACAAGAAACAGGGTCTATTATTTCTTTCTATTTTACATTTTACATAACACAGATTTCTGATAATCAATGTTTAAACATAACTCCTGTGAACGTGCAATACAAACATCTTCATGAGAATAAAGCTATCAATCAGAAAAACACATCTTACTGGTATTTCTCATTATGTCTGCCATAAATACTCAAGTTGCTCATTGTTATAAAGCAAAATGTCTTTTATATAAACTATTCTATAATCCTTTGTCAAGTTATTAATGGGGCAAAAGTATCTAAATTTTCTGGTTTATTTTAATGTTTAAATGCTTAAACCCCCCTTAAATGAAAATTTCAGTTTCTTTAATGAAATCTTATTCCCACTAGGGCTTTCAAAGTAACACAAAGGATTTAACCTGAAGTTGAGTGTATATGAGAAAGTGAGTTCAAATTTTACAATTTTAAGACAGCCCGCTGAATTTACCACATTAATTCCAATATACTTTTTGGAAGGAAGAACATAAGGGATTAAGTGGAGTACAGTTATTTGATGCTAACTGTATTTAACGAACAGGCATTATTCTTCCCAAAGAAAAGTTTACCTGTATATTTGAATCTCCCTTTATATACTTTGCTCCTTCTATTATAGCCATATATGAGAATCTGAGTTGATCTGGTGTCTGAATAAGTCCCATTCGATATTTTCTCATATTCAATAACACTTGTTTAATGTTAATATCATCTCCTTTTTCCATCTGCAAGAATGGTAAAAACAAGTCAAGCCTTTTGTTGTCAGAATACAGCAAACAGAAGCAAAGGGTATCACTGCTAAGATTTTTGCCATGCATTTGGTCCTCCTTAAGAACAATGATAATTTAACAATAATTTAATTAAAACTGTAGCTAGAACTGTTGTGTATACAACTATCCCAATACACCCGCCTCTCCACACCTTCATTGTTCAAGTAATAGATGTAGTTTTGATTCTTTAGCTGATTCACAATTGATTACAAACTAATCATAGTAATCTCATTCATTTTGGCCAGTCATTGTGCAAAGGAAAGATTTATGACTAGTTCTGGCTAACATAAGAGTAAATCTGTTGGGATTACTTTTTTTTTTTTTTTTAAAGGTCTTGGCATCAGTAAATCTTCTTGCCGTTCTGCCTTCTTCATGTCTGGACTACAGACAAGCTGTAGAAAATGAAGTCAGAGAATTCTTAGATCCACAGTAGCACTGCAGAGCTACTACACCAGTTCTCAACTACTGATCTGGTGAACAGAAAGTACACCCCAGGTAAGAAAAAATGAATGCCCTAAAATGAGAAGAAAAGGCCTGGGCCTGTATCCAGAGTGGGGGTGGGAATGATTGGTGGAGAAAGAATACAGTCCTTGGGGGCACGAACAGGAATCTCAGGGAAATAAGAACAATGCAGGTACTAACATTTATCTAGCAGAGAAGACCAGGGACTCTTCTAAGTGTTCTAAGTGTACTAATTCATTGAATTCTCACAGCAACACTGTAAGGTAAGTATGACCATTATTCCTAGTTTTTAAATAAGGAAAAAGAGATGAAGTTCTTATCTGAGGAGAAAAGAATTGAATATTATATATGAATTTATATTTGAAAAAAAAGGGCAGGGTTAGGGGACCTATTATTTCTGTAATACAAAGCTATCAAGAAGAAAAAAGTCTTTTGGAGGACCTCTAGAATCATCTTGGACACATTCCTACCAGTCAAGAATAAGTGGCAGTTGCAAGGGTAGAAGTGAGATTTTCAGATTTTTCCAAAAGAAGGCAGATATTCCAGTTCTGGTATATGACATCAAAGCTTACTCCTGCCAGTAGAAACAATAAAAACATCAAAATGAGATCAGAAGCACTTACCAGAACAAGACAGGTATCTACCAGAGAGAAGGTGCCAGACCGCCCAATGCCTGCACTACAGTGGATCACCGCAGGCCCGTGGTCAGGGTTCAAGGAGCCAGATTCTCTCACTTTAAACAAGAAATTGAGAAATGAAGCTGGTGATTCAGGGACTCCAAAATCTGGCCAGGTAGTATAATGAAAGTGAGATATTGTTCTGGTTTCACCATTCTAAAAAGTAAAAATCAAGGGAGGAGAAGTTAGTCCTAATTTTTTTCTTTTAAAAAACTACTTCAGAAAGATCATGTGTTTTGTGTGATGCTTTTAATCATTATGGACTGTTTTCACCATGAATTTTCCTCTTGGTTTTTGAAAGTCACATATACAGGGCCGGCCCGGTGGCGCACTGGAGAGTGTACCGCTTGGGAGTGTGGTGGCGCTCCCGCCGAGGGTTCGGATCCCATGTGGAGACCGGTTCCCGCTCATTGGCTGAGCGCGGTGCGGGCGCAGCACCGAGGGTTTCGGTCCTGTTGCCGGTCCCCCGGTACGGGCGCAACACTGAGGGTTGCGATCCCATTACCGGTCAGTAAAAAAGACAAAAATGAAAAAAAAAAAAAAAAAAAAAAAAAAAAAAAAAAAAAAAAAAAAAAAAAGA